GTGGAGCGGCTGCCCACTGCTTGCTGCTCTCAGGCCATGCAGGGAATGCAAGGCTGGGTGGGGATCTGGAGCCATTAGGGTTGGGGGGTGGGGCCAGCAGGACCCTCTCTAACGCTCCCTGTCTTCCTCCAGTTCTTCGCCTTCCTCACCACCCTGCTCTATATTCTGCATGCCTTCAGCATCTATTACCACTGAAGTGCAGGGGAATCCAACCCGGTAGGTCTTGCCATTTGCCATCTGGGTGATAAATGGAAGACCCCCCAAGCCACTCACGGGGTCAACAGACTATCTTTCTGGAATGTGTGAGGAGACCCACTTGAGCATTTTCCTCTTTGGACATTCTTACTCCTCACGGACTATGAGAAAACTATTCCGCCACCAAAGATGACTGGCCCCGACCCTGAAGATCTACCCCACCCCCCACCCCTGCCCTGAAGACGACTGCTTCTTGAAGTTTCCTGACCGTGAACTCAGCTTTTCTAAAAAACCAACTTTGAACCCCTCACCATTCAAAATGCCAGCTCTGCCATCACACCCGTTTAGGATCTTTTGTCTCGGCATTGGTGCTCCCCATGATAGGTTTAGGGAATATTCAATCTTATTTTCTAAAATAGGCAAGGCTCCACGAAGGCCTGAGTGTCTAACGCAATGTCCGTGCGCAGACAGACCTTCCTTGTAACCTCTGCTGCCGCTCTGGAGCGGTTGTCCCGACCTGCCTTCTTCCTCCGATCCCACTCCTACTTCCTCTGCATTAAAGAGATCCAAGGAAAATGTACATAAAACCAACTCTGAGGGCAAATTTATGGGAGAAATAAACGGTTGGGTTTGGAGAGTCATAATGGGAAGGACGCAGCCAGTTGATGCATAAGCCGGGTCCCTTGGGAACTACAGGGCTCAGTGCGCCTGCGTGGAGCCTCAAAGACCAACCTGAGGACCAGAAGTTTGCGCGTCCTTCAGGAAAGACTTCAGCGAAGGAGATGGGCGCATCACAGGCACGGATTTACCTTCCGGCTCCTCCCAACACAGCGGGAAGAAGCGGTTGCTAGATTGTGGCAGGGGCTGTGAAAAGGACCCCTCTGGAGGTCTGTGCTCACTTCTGTGTGCCCCCAACTCTTTCTGGAGACTCTCTGGGTGGGGCCCGTCTGCAGGATTCATCATAGAAAGGCAATTGAGTTTGGGGGCTATTTTTCCAAGACCAGGCCTTGTGAGAAGAGAAGTATGAAGTCAAGGGAATACTCCCGGAGCAAGCTGGGCTCTCTATCCCATCACCACCCGGGAGGGTCTCAGCCCCTTGCCAAGGGCGCCTGCGTGGCTGGGTTTCCTCACCCAACAGGCCAACAGGGCACAGCCCCATAACTGCCTAAATAAATAATTACCGAAAGGGAATTAGCGGAATCTAACTTTTCTCCATTCGGGTGTGTTGGGAGGGGGTAGGGGTCACTTACTAATTGCCCTGATGTCTTGAAAAGCCAACACTTGTCTCTTATTTTATAGCCTGGCAGCTATCTGTGATTTTCACCGTTGAATATTTACTGAATGGCCCACGTACAAATAAAAAATGTTTGTATAGTGGCAAGTGTGGAATCTGTCTCCTTGATATTGCTGGAAGCTGGACCCAGACATCATTTTTTTTTAAGTCTATTATGCAATGTCGTCAAAACCCCCCTTGGGATTGTTTTAAGTTTCTATAGCTAAGTCCCTGTCATAGGGTTCTATTGCTGCGAAGGGACACCATGACTAAGGGAACTTACAAAAGGAAGCATTTAATTGGGAGCTTGCTTAAAGTTTCAGAGGGTGAGTCCATGATCATCACGACAGAAAGCGTGGTGGCAGGCAGGCACGGTGCCGAAGAAGTAGCTGAGAACTCATATCTGATTTGCAAGTTGCAGAGACAGAGAGAGAGAGACAGAGAGACAGAAAAAAAACCTTAAAGCCCACCCCAAGTGGCACGCCTCCTCCAAAAAGGCCACACCTCCTAACCCCTCCCAAACAGTTTCACTGAGGACCAAGCTTTCAAATATATGAGCCTATGAGGGCCATTCTTATTCAAACCACCACAGTCCCCAAGGGCAGAAACACAGTCATTCTGTCTTACGTATCAGGGAGGGTAGAATCTGTCTCCAGGTTGTGGTATCACAATCACTTGGGGGCAAGTTCAACCTCAAACAATTAGACACAGTTGGTGTCCCACCAGCCAGAGCTGGGGGAGACAGAAAGGTCTCCATCAAAGCCCAGATGCCTTGTTCCCATTTCTCATTCTTCCTTCCCTCCCCCCATAACACAAGTCTTGTTCAGCTCCCAAGACACACCCACCCCACTCACATTGTACAGTGCTCAACCCAAGCCTGGTTACCTTTTGCTTACACACAGCGGCTGCTATATCACTGCGTCCCCTCTTCTCAGTCTGGCATCTCCCCAATCCTCTGGAGGGAAGTCCTGAGGCCTTCAGACATCTCAGGCCCTCACCTCCTGTAGACAAAAGGATGGCAGGATTTGTTGGGTTTTTTCTTCCTGTCCTGATCCGCACCCCTTCCTTTCCCACTTACCTTCCCAGGGTCCCACACTCAGGTCCCATCTCACAGCTGGCTTTGGAGGGAATGGAGAATAACTCCCTGACACTGTCCCCAGGGAATCTTATGTGTTTCCTGAGCACTAGGGAAACATAAGGTACCCTGTACTGAGTAAGTTTTGTCTGGGACAGCCAGGGACTCTAATCTGGGAAATAACCAATTATCTTTTAAAAAGACAGGGACAGAGGAAATCAAATGTTAAAATCTGAAAAGCAAGTCTACCTCTGGGGTCACAGTGCCACTGGAAGGTGACTGAGCTGTCAGGGTGTTGATCTCCCCACCCCCCAATCTGACCATCGCACTGGGAATCTGAGGTGAAGCACATCTCAGCATGAACTGGGCCCTGCAATGGAGGGCCACCTGCAGGCTCTTGTTCAATGGGAATGTACTGTGAGCATCGCCCATTCCTCCCCAAAGTGTACAGCTCAGAAACCAAGGTGTACATTCGGAGTCTTTGTCACACCTGGTCCTCCCTGGGGCACAGCGCTGCCTAGTCCCTTTGCTCCCCTGGTGCCTTTGGGACTCTCTCTGCCATCTCTGATGCACCCGTCCACCACTTCCCAGTAGTTAGCTCACAGAAGGGAGGGAAACACCTTGTAAAAGATGGCTGAATCCTCTTCCGCTTGGAACAGTTTTGTGTACTGGTGCAGACCGATGCACGTGGAAACCTTGCTGTCTCTCTCCCATCTCGTACTACACCCCTGGAGCCTGGCTTCCCTTCTGTTAGATGTACCCTGAGGCTCCACGGAGAAGCTGATGTCTTTCTCCTTCCTGCACTATGGACAGTGAAGCTACCCCAGAGCCCAGGCTGGACCTCGCTAGCTGGTTATAAGGAAATCAGGCCTGCTGAGGAAGCTGGGCCCTTCCTACCTCCCGACTTGGATGCCTGTTCTGGGCATATCACATAGTAGGGCTACCACAAATGCATAGTGGTAGCTTCATGTGGTCCCATTTGAGGGAACTGCCTACATCATGTTTCTCAACCTGTTGGTCTCGACCCCCACAGGGGTCATATATAAGATACTTACATCACAATTCACTCATAACAGTAGCAAAATTACAGTTATGAAGTAGCAGTGAAATAATTTTATGGTTGGGGGTCACCACAACATGAGGAACTGTACTAAAGTGTTGCAGCATTAGGAAGCTTGAAAACCACTGGCCTACATGATGACGGACTAATCCAAGAGACAGGTAGATGGGAGAGCCCCATGTCAAGACAACCATCCTCTTAAGAAATGCAGAAGAAAGACACGGAGAAGGTATGTGGAGCCCGAGACAGGAGCTGGTGCTCTGCAGCCAACGCTCCAGGAATGTCGGGAGCACCCAGAGGGTGGAAATGGCAAAGGGTGGGTTCTGCAAGCCTGTCAGGGAAATACAGTCCTGACGGCAGATTTACAGCCTCTACATTATTAAAAAAAATAATTCCCTACCAGGTTTGTGGTCATTTGTTACAGTAGCCACAGGATGTTAATATAGCATAAAAATAATCACCTCTACTGTCAGAACTGCTGTTCCCAAATGTCTTGATTTGGGGTTTAAAGGAAGCTTTTCAGAGCAGCCAGCTGTTTTAGTCAGTGCTTTATTGCCTTAAAGAGACACCAGGACCACGGCAGCTCTCATAAATGAAAACATTGAATTGGGGCTGACTTAGAGTTCAGAGGTTTAGTTCACTATCATGGTGAGAAGCATGGCAGCATTTATGGTAGCTGGAGAGGTAGCTGAGAGTTCCATATCTGGATTCTCAGGCAACAGGAAGTGAACTGTCCCACCCACCCTGGGTGTAGCTTGAGACCTCAAAGCCCACCCCCACAGTGACACACTTCCTCCAACAAGGCCACATCTCTTAATAGTGCCACTTCCTATGGCCAAACATTCAAACACCCAAGTCTATGGGGGCCATACCTATTCAAACCACCACACCAGCTAATACTCTACTTTACGGGGTTTACTTTTTTTTTTAAGGTCTCAACAATAGAGGCCTTTTCCTCCCTGTAACACCCAGAATCATCCATGTACTCACTGTGTTAAGTGGAGCGTACAACCACCATGGGCTCTGGAAGCATTCGTCAGTGTGTGCGGTACGTATGTATATCTGCACTAGACAAAAAGGCTCTCTGGATGTGGGTGTGAGAGGGTAAAACAAGTCATAGACTTCTCAGAGAGTCCAGACAATCATGCTTTGTCTGCCTAGGAAGTCAGGGCCGAGGGGCTCTCTACAGCTACCCCCAACTCCTCTTCAAGTGCAGAGTTATTTATAACCACAAGGAATACATTTGGAGTTCACAGTAAGTTCCTTCCCAGCACTGAGAACAAGTGGAGTGAAGTGTGTAATGAGGCTGTTGAGTTCTTTGTAAGTTCAAGAGAGCTTTATTGTAAAATGGTGAGCATACAACACAAAACAATGTATTATATACTTGAAAGTTGCTGGTACAGATTTTATTTTATTTTTCAGAGATGGGGTAACCAGTCAATGATAAAGTTGAGGAAAACTGTAAAAGCCCTGGGAAATGCTCATGACCCAGTAGTGGAGCACTAACAGTCAAGTGTGCTGAGAACCACATGCAAGGGGAGGTCAGTGGTCTAAATCAGATTTGGTCTGTTCAGAGACAGAACTGTTTCTCTAACACGACAAGAAGGCAGGAAGGGCCCTCGGAGAGTCGCGTTTGCATACATGGAACCAGCCTAAGGTCAGAAACTCCGTGGGTAAAGAGTTCTTCCTTGAGTCGGGACCATCCTCCTGAACTGGGGTCATCACACTTGGACTCAGGCGTTGGTTTCTCACCTGCCAAGGCAAAAACAACCGCTCACAATTCCCTGGTGTGCTCTGAAGTGGCAATTAAAAAAAAAATCTGCCCAAGTGATGGCCCTTTCCCCAAATCTGCAGCATCGGTTCTTTTGTTTGCCCAGATCATTCCCCAGTGGTTCCCAGTCTTGGCTGTTCACGCAGGTTGTCACTCTGTAAAGCGACAGACGATAAAGACCCTGGAGCCAGCCCCTTTCCACACAAGCTGGGACAGCAGCACAGCCTTTGGAGGACTTCCTGCATCAACCAAACACATTAGCTTGAATTCTTGAGGTGCTCCAAGGGAGGCCCACCCCTCTTCTCTTCAGAGTCTCCCTCTTCAGGCTGTCTCTACCCAGGTGACGTCTGCTCCGCTTCCCTCAGCAGCGGGCAGTGGGTGCTATAGGTTCTGCACTCAGAGATCTTCCCTTCCTCAGAGTTCCGAGGGATGCTGCTGCCCACCCTGTTCAGCATGCTCCTTATCCTTTGGCGTGACTGCCAACTCTACAAAGAGACTAAGCACTTTGTGTGGGCACATACCAAGCCTTTACTTATTTTATATTTATGGGTCTACCATTAATGAGGTGTCCAGAATTCACTTTCTAGCCCATGGTGGCCTCAGACTTAAGGAAAGCCTCCAGCTTCAGATTCCCAAGGGCTGGGTTTACAGGCATGAGCCTCCCACTCCTGCTAGAAGGAAATAAGTACAGCATTGAAGCGATCAGCTCAACTCTAGGGACTCCAAAGAGTGGCAAAATACTAAGTCACCACCTTCAAGGTGACCATGTCCTACAGTCCACCCTCAAGGTGACCATGTCCTACAGTCCACCCTCAAGGTGACCATGTCCTACAGTCCATCCTCAAGGTCACCATGTCCTACAGTCCACCCTCAAGATCACCATGTCCTACAGTCCACCCTCAAGGTGACCATGTCCTACAGTCCACCCTCAAGGTCACCATGTCCTATAGTCCACCCTCAAGGTCACCATGTCTTACAGTCCACCCTCAAGGTCACCATGTCCTACAGTCCACCCTCAAGGTCACCATGTCCTACAGTCCACTGTTCCCTCTTCCGTGGGAGGATTGACATGGAATCACACCCTGGGTGTCTTTTCCAAGAGTCACAAGAGGCCAAGGGGGGAGAAATAGTCTCAACTGAGCAAAGAGCTGGCATTTCTTTCCCACTGTCCTGCGTAGCACCCCACAACTTTTTGTTCTTCGAGTGAGGCTGGCTTTGGTGGACTCTAGTAACTCAAAGCAGAGATTATGGGGCACAACCACGTGGTGAAGGCTTTCAACTGTGGTGGCGAAGTGAGAAAATCTCTGAGTCCATGAGACCATGTCTCCCAAGAAGAAATCATTTGTCAGCCCCAGGAGAGAAATGCTAAGTCACCAGGATTAACCCCAGCTTCCGACTCTGATGACCCCTATCCTGATGGCACCAGAAAGGGGACATGTGAGGTCTCTTCTCTAGCCACTGGCCACAGCTGACCGGGAGCTGCTACAGTAGACTGTCGTGTCAGCTTGAGTGGACAGAGCATTGTTCCTGGGTGGAGCTGTGAGGGTTTCTAAGGAAACTGGTGCATGTGCATGGGTTGAGTGGGCAAGGTCCATTCTCAGTATGGTGGGCACCATACAGCCAGTGGGAGCTGGATAGGAGGAGAGGGGACTGGAAAGGAGAGTTCTTCCCTGACTCTGTCCTGAACTGGTACACTCTTTGTATGCCCTTGGGCATCAGAACTCCAGGTCTCCTGGCCTTTGGACTCCAGGATGTGGGTTCTCAGACCTCAGACTGAGTTGCACAATCGGCTTTCTTGATTTTGCCTCTTTCAGACATGGACTGAGCCACACCTCCGGTATTCTGCAGTCTCCATCTTGCAGGACAAAGGTCGTTGAGGGCCCTGCGCAGTCTTTAGACTCTTCTAGGCCAGTTGCCCTCGCTCATAGCTATAAGATGGACTCAAGGCCTCCAGGAAGTCCAACTCTTGACAAACGGCTACACTATCCCGTAAACTAAATGGCGTGTGAGCTCCAAAAAGCTCTGGGAGTTTCGTGTAGGGTTGAGTTGATGACTGAAGGGAGAGCAGCTGGAGAAACCAAGAAAACCAGGGAAGTCAGAAACGGAGAGAGTCTAGATAGGAGACAAATGTTAGCAACCCTTGGGTAAGACCATCTAGGCAATGTTCCCCAGAACACAGGATAAGTAGGAAAGCACAGCAGAGGCGTCTGAGAAAACTGGAGAGCCTCTGAGCCCAGACCTCCTTCCCTTCTTTCTTCCATGTATTTGAAAATGGATTTCCCACAAGGCTTTTTTTTTTTTCCCCTAGTGACTGCTACTTGAAAGTCGATTCCTACTCTCACAAATTCAGTCTACCAAGATTTCCTCATTATTTCAATCCGTTGCTATTTTCTTGATTGCCAGTTGTTTAAAAGATCAATACTTTTCGATAAGCTGAGCTATCACCTCCCAAACACAGTATTTGCGCTGACTAACCAGTCCCCTTCAAGATTGGGGATGCTTCCAGGGCCAGCACTCAGCAGCCTGCCTTCTCTTTCTCGCCTGCAGTGTGATCTGCACAGCGGTATCAGACATCTCAAACCTGCTTCTTCTAAAAGCTGTCAGCAATCACCAAATTTCTGCAGAATCCTTAAAAGTTGAGGATCTGAAAACTGACTTGGCTTAACAATCTAAAGGGCATTTTTTTTTTATCAGATAGCATGGCAGGACTCAAAACAGTACCACACAAGACTCTGTGGCCTGAGCCAAGTAAGAGGCACAGTGGAGGCAAAAGAGATGGAGGGAGACATCAGCAGGCAGAGGCACACCTCCTGC